GCGCTCAGGGCAGGGTTCGAAGCTTGCAGTATAGCAACTTCTGAATGCAGCAATATGCATAGTCCGACCTCCAACCCTCAAATACCTGCATATCGAAAAAATAGATTCACTGACGCCGTCAGGCGGCTCTTGCGTTGGTCCATTGCATTGGTAGCTGTGGCTTCAGCCTTAGATATCTTCAGCACAACATGCTGCCGTGCTTCATGCTGCAGATGTTTGCACGCATCTAATGACCAAAGTACGCCAGGCAACATGATCGGAAGCAAGCCACCGTGAGCCTGGCTATCTGGCAACTCATGAGGCGCAGTCTCTGATCGCATCTCAGCACCCAAAGCCTCTAGAAGAGGGCCCAGCAGGTCCGTGACGTGATAGCCTCTGACGTGGAAAGAGGCATCACCTGTAGCAGGCCAGAAGGAATATCCTCATGTTAGTGGCGAGATTCTAGGCATTTGCCCCGGAGCCCCCCTCATTATCCGGTTGCCTATTTCGGTACAAGTTTTTGAGCCTGTTGTATCTGAGGAAAAGATTTTTCTCTCGCTGAGGGGTAATGTCGACCACATAGTGAAGCATCACACTGACTGATCCAGAAGCCCTTCAAGTTCCTCACCCTTGAACAGAACAATATGGGCATCCTTGGATGGGCGGCAAAACAACAATCTGCTAGATCCTCAACGCAGAACAGTTGAATTTCAGAATCCCACCAGCCTTAATGACTCGGAAACCCCACGTTGCAAAAAGCTGTATATGTACCAACAGACATTACTGTATACAATTATACTGCTGACAGAAATTGATGGGTATCTAGCACCTCTTACATGCCGTCCGAGGGGAAATAATGTGACACTCCATGACCCTGCGACGCCCTCGTATGTTGTGGGACCCCAGGGGTACCAGTTGGCTCGGGAAGCTACGTACAGGATGCTACAGCAGGGTTATTTATGATGGAGTTGTAAAGGGGTAATATAATACTTACCGAACTCCCAGCCCTAAACCCTCAAGCATATGCCCTAAACCCTAAACCCTATAGTTTCTGCCCTAAACCTTAAGCCCTATGGTGTATCACCTAAACCCTAGAATTTATTACCCAACTCCAGGGTCCCAAAGTAAGTGCCTGGCCTGTCCAGGCGCTGAGCACCGTGAACTCACCTGGTGCTAGGTTTTAGGACGTGGAATCATCTTAAGGTTTATGGTTTAGGGTTTGGGGTTTCAAGGCGTGTGGCCCCCCGGTAACAACCCAGAACTCACAGGAGAATCAAGGAACTAAAGATGTCTTCCTGTGTCCCACCCACGATACACAATAAATTCTGGTGCTTCCATGGAGCAGGGCTGGTCTTCTCCATCCATATCTCAAATGTAAGAGCCCCAGACGAAACCAGAAACCAACTCGCGCTCGGAGAGCTAGCAGTGACAGTTCGCCCTCCAATGCCAACAGTGGAGTGGGTTGCTGGGAGTTTGTGGCAGGGCATCCGCATCACAAGCAGGAGCACGGCAGTAGCAAGTAATCATCCTAAGAATCTTCAAGTCCGATCCCTTTGATTGAACCATGCTAGCACCTAATCCTGTGACTGGGGCACCCTTGCCTCTCTTTGAAAATCGTCAGTCTCCACTTTTACTGGGGTTGCCTGACAAATCTCATTTCTGCGCTCCGCAGACCTTGGGACTAGATGTTCTTCCATGATAATTCTCTACTGAGACCCCTGTGCCCTGACACCCGAATTTCTGAGCGAAGGCACTCTGGATCGTACCCACTTCCTGGGCACCAGGGAAAGACACAGATGGCTGAGCGCTTTCATAGCTTCTGGTTCTGACTCCCACCAAGCTGAGAGAATGCAGAAGTTTCATCTCAGGTTTGGGTCGGGCAGCGTCCCTGGGCGTTACTCAAGGGTTGCGTGATGGAATTCTGAGGCTATGGCGGGGCTCAGTGGAAAACAGGATGCCGTGCTCGGTAGGACACGTTGGAATCCTCAGGCAAGCCCTTCATATTACTCACCCTCCTTCAGGTTAAGCCGGGCCGCCCCATGCATTATGAGGTATCCTCACACTAACATGGGGCCCATACTGGCCTTTGAACCGTCCTTTTAACAAGGGGCTGTATTGGGTTCTTGGTTATTTGTTGGGAGAGGGTAACCCCCCTGAACCCTGAATCCTAAACCCTAAATCCTGAACCTAAACCCATTCTGTAGGCCAAGCCTCTGCCAAGCTCGACCCTAACTCTGGCTCTTTGAAGCTCGTCTCACCGCTCCTGAGGTTCACCTGAAACCATGTGGCTGTTTCTCAAACAAAAGGTGTTTAGGGTTTAGGGGTTATATTGGGGCTAGATAGGGATGAAAAGAAAATGGAAACTACTATTCAGGGTTCAGGGTTTAGCTGCTAGAAATGCCAGGGATACTTGGAGAGTACAAGAGTGTTCTAGAGAAAGATTGTTGTGAACCCCCCCCATGTAGCGTCCAGGGTTCGGGATGAAGTTGAGAAGCCACACCTCCGCAACCATCCTCACACCCCAGGCAGGGAGCTTGGCGTCTCTGCTTGCGCTTGCGTCCGTGTTGGAATTATCTGTGCGGGTTGGGCCGTGCGCAAGTAAAGTGAGACTACTAGGAAACGACCCATTCTGCGAGACCTTGTTGGGGCACTCCTCAGCCCTACACTCTTACGCTGTGACTGCACAATCCACATGTATAGCATTGGCCTAAGAGCCCCATACATTCAAGACTCCACCTTCTGGATTCGTTGCTCAGCTTAAAGAGCCTGAGGTCTGTGTTTGCGAAATACTGATGCAGTTGCTAGCCGCAGAAAGGCCTTCAGGGCATCAGGTACAATTCGTGCAGGGGGAGGCGTTTGGCAGCCCATGTGCGTTCCTGTCAAACTGCCCCAGACAATCTGCACAGCCCCCTATCTAATCGCATGTAGTAACTTCTGTACATCTTCTCAGGCAAATCTCCATGCAGTACCCAAACCGCAGGCCCTGACGAGTGGCAAGCTCATGTGGAACCGGCCCTTCGTGCCATGCGCGAAGAAGCCGCTGCCCAAGCCTAGCTTTGATTTCTTACTTGAACATTGACTTGGGGACTTCCAAACAATGCGGGACGGGGGTGTAAGGACCCCAGGGATGCATCTTACGGAGTGACTCATGGCGTCTGGGGCTGTGCAAAGGATTGAAGGCGCAGGGGGCAATGGCTGGCTAGAGACCGCAGTAGCAGCAACAAAATAGTAGCCATAGTATCACAATGAGTTGGTGACGTGTGCACATTGCTGAAGTTGTGTTCGCAAAGAGCCTCGTGGGTTAGTGTTGCGAGCATCTCAAGGTTCGCCAGGAAGCCTAATTCGATGGCCGCAGCTTTTCCATATGAAGCGTTTTGTGAATCTCTTGGAAACCCATAGCGTCCAGGCGACTGCTCTGCATGTCCCAGCAGCTGCACTTGTCCGCTGAGGCCTCTGCACATCGGACTTACAAAGCAGCCGCGTGAGTGAGATCTTCATGCGCGGCTGGCTTGACATGACATGAAGTGACAGGATAGTGTCTCATGGCAGACTACTAGAAAGCATACCAACACCATGAATGTCATGCTTATGGGAAGACTAAGAATCGTAGTCATATTACCAATACTAAGAACAATTATGTCAGGAGCACCTCTGCTGAGCCCCGTGTGGAAGCAGAGTGCCCGACCGTAAGCAGAGAGAAGCCCCCCTAGCACGCGGATCACGGTCTCAAACAAGCTGACCTGAGATGTGCGCATGCAAGGCTGGGTACTGAACAAATATCAGGGGCCGTAGTATAATAGGGATCCAAACAAGGACTCTATATGAGTGCTTCTCAAAATTACAATCCCTAACAACCCCCCATAAACCTCCCATAATCATGAGGTATGTGCACACATACAGTCCCTGGGTGCCCCCATTTTGAGAAACCCGCATTCGTCTTGCACGGTAGGCTTGGCCTGTACGTCTGGGCAAGAAGACACGGCCCTGGAAGCAAGCATCCGCTCACAAAATGCGCTTACATGCCCTTCTCTCACCAAGGTTGTCTTGCTCATTGGGGAATATCTTACCTTTAACCTTCTCATTTTTTGTTGTTGATTGTGGCGGCCAGTGCTGGCTGAGCAGCTGAGACATCCAAATCCACGCTAAAGTTCTGAAGGACCCACCTGCAGAAAAAAGTTCGTGCAGGCTTCTCTCTACAGACCGTAAATAGCAGTTTCCATTCTACTTTCCATTATCCCCTACATTCTTTCGGCATCCTCGAGCCTGAATTCCTGGGGTCTGCTCATGGGTTCATATAGGGGTACTATAGGCACTATTAATGGTTTATATAGGAATTATAGGGGTTATATAGGGGTGATAGAGGATAATGGAAAGAAGACGCTCAAGGCTTCCAAACTTGGCTGCCCTGGGCCTTTCGGCTTCGTAGTAGTCCTGCCGAGCAATATTACAGCCATATTGGGGTAAACTACTGTGGTAATTTGGGGCTATATAGGGATTATTAGGGTTATAAAGGGAGTATCAGGACATAGGGGTTATATAGGGATTGCTAGGGTTATATTGGCGTTATATGGGGATAATGGAAAAGAAGATGGAAACTACTATAACGGGTAATATAGCTATATACTTTGGAAGAAGCCCGCGCTGTCCGGAAATGCCGTCATGATGATGGATATCCGTGCTTCTGGTGCTTGCGCATCGTTTCTTTCAGCGCCAATCTCACACCTGCTTGGGAAATCCTTCTACTTCATCATTCCCATGAATGCTTCCAATGTTTCCGGTGCCATTTGAAACCGGCAAGTTAAGTGCTTGCTGGGATTAGCTGCTGCCCTCCCCTACCCAAAGATATGTGACTGGAAGACTCCTATGCTCGAAGCTTCATGAGTGGTTTCAAGCCTTCAGCAGGTGTTAAGCACACGTCCTCTTGAAATAACGATCCCTATCCTTCTCACTTCTGGCCCATTTCATGCACGTTATGACCCTCTACATAACCCCCGTCCCTATGGTCAGAACATCCAAGTGTCCTCCTGTAGCCCCAGCAGCCACAAGGAATCCAGGGCATCGATGATTTGTACGCCCAAACCTGGTTTCAGGTTGAAGGGCCAGGGTTGAAAGGCTTGTGGATTTCCAGCCTTTAGGGGGGTCCTGAGGTTTGGGAGAACCGCTTTTAATGGTAAGTTTTAGCAGCTAGGGATGAAAACATGTTAGGCAAATAGTGAGAGCATCTAGAGGTCAGGGTTCATCATCTCAGATTCAGGTGGGGTGAAGGGTGCTGTTGTATGACCTCAAGGTCCATGCGCTGCAGGCAGTCTGCCACAGTACCACCGCAGCTACCCCTGATGTCTAGTGACTCGTGTGTCCAAGCTCACATTCATCATTTTACGATGATGCGATCAACCAGTAGGAGTGAGCTCCGAGCCTATCCCCAAAGCTTGTATTCAGATTCATAATGATCCCAGAACTGCAAGCAGTGCTGGAAACCATGGAAAGTACTCCCCACGAAAGCAGCCGTTTGCCCACCTTAAGCTCAGGCCTGGAAGAAGAACTCTCCCAGGCTCGTGGCTTAAACAGATACGAAGGCCCTCCAAAACCCCATATAAGCCCTGCCCTGCCATGACGGCCCCGCATATGGTCATAAACGCATTTCTTAAGGAAGTAAGCTGGAGCTTACTGCATCTTGTACCTGTTGCCATAACAGCTCCGTGAATTGCAATTGGTTTGCTCCAAACTCGAAAGGAGCCGCTGAACTTTCAACAGCCGGGACACCTCCGAAGTCATTGCTGCAGGTCTTGGAGACTGGTCTAAGCTCGTCCTTGCCCCAGCAGTGCACCTCAAGCGAAATAGAATGGAGCTAAAGATATGGTAGTTTCCAAGGAGCACCCTAAAATGGTAACCCTAATCTTGGGAAAGTCTATATGACATCGTTGTTGCTCAGGGGTTGAGGATTTCAGGTTAACCTAAACCCTAAACCTTAAATGGTAGTTTCCATTTTCTCTTTTTCTGTTATCTCTATAACCCCTTTATATTATGGTAGTTTCCATTTTCTTTTCCGTTATCCCTATATTATCCCTCTATACTTATACAATCCCTGTATTCCCTGTAGTTTCCATGTTCTTTTCCATTATCCCTATACAGCCGCGCGAGACTTGGGAGCTCAGAGCGGCAGCCAGGGCTCAGTCGAAGGCCAGAGGTTTGAAAGGGTCATGCCACGTGTATAGAGGGAGGCTGCTAAAGTTGTAGCCTGGAGCCCACACTCTGTATCTACCCATGGTCAAACTACCCTACGCTAAACCCTAAACCATACTCATACTCAGTAGGACCCCTGAGCCCTAAACCTGATGACTTCCACAAGCACATAGAAAGGCCTTGTAGGCGTTCCAGGCATGAAGGAACGCCGCCGCAACCGACTCCTGTCTTTCCTTGGCAACAAGGTGACTTACTGCGTGCAGGGTTGGATCTCCACGGTAATGACTATGTACTGACAACCTGCTCACCTGTAACAGCCCCTAAGTTCACTCCCGCTGGCGTAAAGTGTGTATGCCTTGGGGTCTATCCTGTCGACTGTCGTGATTTTCAGAACTCACTCTGCCTGCCTGATCCTGCCTGTGTCACTTGCACGCTCATTCGGTTGATACTCAACACCGTGACCCTGACTACTTTATACGGTAGTTTCCCAAAATTAGGGGTACCTTTTTGGGGGTCCTTATAATAAGGACGATATTATATTGGGGTCTATATTGGGGTACCCTAATCTTTGGAAACTACCTTATATCTTACTTGGCACTTGTGTGCTGCAATGCTTCTCGACAGGGGATGAAGTTAAGGTGCAAAGAGCCCTGCACACAAACAAGCCCCGAATAGCCTGCTCTGAGTCCACTTACATTTCAGGTACTGGTGAGCTGTATTCAGGTAGACTGGCCTTAGAAGTTGTATTCAGGAATGTAGAGGAAGGATATAAGTAAGTCTCCAGGCTTCTACAGCGAGCTTCCTCCACCTTTGACCATGGGCTTGCCATGACTCACTTTGCTGCATGCACGTGTCATGCACTAAGCTTGGGACATTTTGTGGGCCGACAACCTCAAACTGGACTCCCGGGACAGCAGTGGTAGGTTCTGCTCGCAGTAGCAGGGCCGCATGGCAAATGGCCCAGGGTCCGCGAGGCATGGGTTTTGTCTCCCCCTTGGCATTAAACAAACCTCCACACGGAAGCTGTGAAGCTACTTGATTTCTAAAGATCTGCAGTTCAGCCTGAAAGAGCATGCGCTTGCCAGCATACTCGGAGAAAATGATAACCCTGAGCTCGGTTGAATGTTGAAAGGGGGGCGGTATCCCCCAACCCCTGAACCCTAAACGAAGGTCAGGAGCAGGAGGGTAACCTAATGCTTTGATTCAAGCGGCATCGGCGTGTTTTGACTTCAAGTGCGCTGCAAGGGAGCCTTTAGAGATGGGGTCTCGGAGCTCAGTTCTGATTTCAGTTGAAAATTTGTTGGGTTGCGGTTTAGCATGTCAATGGCAATCTGTAAGGCATCGAGCAGGTCCGTGCATGTATCCCAGGTGCAGTACCCCATGAGCAGGAGAGCTTAAAGCTAAACCTGGGATTTGAGCCCATTCAACTTCGACCGCCGTCCCTGATCCCCAAACCTCGAAACCCCAAAGCCACAGCGCTCATTCCTAAACTCTGCACAGACTGAGGTACCCTCTCATCTGCACCCGAAAGCCTGTGCCTTAAGCAAGCAGCTGCACTACACCTGAGCGTCCTGGGGCTGGTAGCCTTCTTCTCCCTTGCTGCATCCTCTGCCTGGGGTGGGATGGCCGATTTTCCGTCCCTCTGGTCAGCTAGGCCTGTAGTCTCTATGAAGCGCGGAGTTTGCTGCTTTGTGGCCCCATGGTTTTGGGCTTTTTGTGCAGGATATCGGAGGGGCATCTCGAAACCGAGTGCAGGAATGTAAAATATCTCAAGCAAACAAGGTATTTGATATGCAGCACCTAGTGGAATCTGTGTACCAACATGTTGCGGTGCTTTGCTCTACGTGGACTCTATGTGATGTTCATGACTTCATGATGAGAAATCGCTGTATGTGGTTTCGAGCCGCAGCGAACAGCAGCACCCGAAACTGCGTGTTACTCTTGCGTAGTAAATGCTTTTACTTTTTGGGTTGGAAACCACGTCATGAGCGTCCTTGCTGCAGGACAAGTCTCACAACAAGAAGGCTCAGAGAACAGGAATGCCGTCCAATCAGAGCCCAAACCCGAGTCTTGGTTTGGAAGGGTTTGGGGCCCGGGGCTCTCAAAACAACTGTGCCAGCGACATGAGGTCTAATCGCACAGTTCCAGAAAATGATATGGGAGTTTCCCTCCATGGGGAACCCCAAAAGATCGATGCCAAACTACTATAGTCCTACTTGATAAGGACTCCCAAAAAAAGCCGCGCAATCTAGGGAACCACCCCCCATGTGGTAATAGGACCCCGCACACAGGCAGCAGAACCAAGCAAGCCCTCGAAGCCTGGGGTGCATTCGTAGGAGAAGCCCGGGGCTAGATAGGAGAGATCCCGTAAGGACACTGAGAAGGTACGTACTTAGAGGAGAACCTATAGGTTGCTCAGAGGGCCTGTCCTATGTGGGGGTCTTTTTGCCACTTGCATGGCCGAAGCAGCGCCAGGCACCATCCGGGCGAGGAGTCATATCACGCGGAAAGGATGCTGGCTGGAACGTGTTTTTTTTGGGATCTGCCTGAGAATCTGGGGCGCCCCACCAGCAACTCTGCACCTGGCCGGGGAACACCAAACCGCAGTCTTCTCAATCTAGGTATGGTATTTTGGGGATCCTTAGGGATTACGTAGGGATCTCTAGCGGCGGCAGTGGCCATGGTGGTGGCCGTTGTGGTTGACTCTTCGTGCTGGCAAGATTCAGGCTTGAGCGTTTGGGTCTGGGTTCAGGTGTTTGCCTTCAGGGATTGATCCCAAATACTCCCTCCAAGCCACCACTCTAGTCGTGTCACACAACCAAGGCTTTCAGCCAGAGACTTGTGGGCCATGTTATGCTCAAGCCAGGCATGTTGCATGAGTTTCTACTCCATGTTGCCACTCCTGCATCTCCTACCAACTTCCAACTACGAGGCTGCCCTTTTACAGCGAATGTAGTAGTTTCCCCACATTTAGGATATCTTTTGGGAGTCCCAATAATAAGGATTATAGATTATAGTATTTAGGGTCCCTTTATTTAGGTAAACTATCATGTGAAGCTCCATGGAAAGAGGCTTCCTCTTTGGGAGTCCAGCAGTCTCCTGCAGTCCTTTTTTTACTCGGCGTCAAAGGGGTGAGTTAGTGCCGCGTGGCTGTGTCGCCACCCTTTGTCGTGCAACGCGCCAGTTTTCTTGAACGCTTCTGGCACCCCAATAGCAGTTGCTATGCTGCCATCTCTGACACCTTCACGAGAGAAGGAACATTTATGTTGGGGCCTCTGACTTTCCGTCCTCCTGTCAAATGGCAAGGGATCTTTGCATAGTCATACTGCCCTCCCCTGCTATCGCATGCTGACTCTCAAGGTCAAACGCACATGCAAAAAGAATTCCCGCAGTACAGATCTGGGATGAACTTGCAGGGGCCGCTTTCTCGCTTCTACGGAAATTGCGCAAGGCTGACGCAGCAGCAGGAGCTGGCGGCGACGTCCAAGAGGTTCAAGGCCCATGGCCTTCAGCTATTCATGAAGGGATGCATCCAGTGTAGCGTGGTATGTTTGGGCGCTAGAATTTCATGATGTCGAGGAAGCAGGGGAAGCAGGTGGGACTGTGGCCTCCTGCAGCAGCCCAAGCCAAGGCTTATCTTGAGCGATCCATACTGAGACTCTCAAAGATGTGTAAGAAAGGAGCTAGGGATCTCACTAGCCCAAGTAAGAGTCAGCCCTTCTTAGGAAAGCACGAGGGAAATCCTCTTTGTGTTTCTCGCTCAGCATACCCCCGAACCCTTGTCCCATAGTTTGGTCCATTTGTACCCTCAAGCCCCCCATCATACGGAAAAGGCTGTACCCTACAGTACTTGGCCCTTCCAGTGCACGGGTCACAAGGGAATTTCCTCCTCTGCGGCTCCGAATCAAACCGTTGACTGCTGAACACTCGAATACTCCTCTGAATAATCCCAAACGGCCTAAAGCCCTAAGAAGATGCTTTCGTAGGGATTCTCGAGATGGGATGGTTCATAAAAGAACCATAGCTAAGCCCGCGGCTGTGAGCTCAGCCTGTCCAGCTGTATTTGCCACATGGTCTGTCTAGGCAGGGGAACTGCTGACGAAAGACGGCAAAAGAATCACCACCGCCACCACCACGCCACCCCTGCCAAAGCCCGCACACCCTCCACTTCTTCTGATGTGCGTAGCTTCACCACCACTTGAGCAACTGAGAAAGTAAGGCGCTTCAAAGGGGCAAGCTGCTGGGCTGTGGTCCTTATCGGGTATATGTCCTACCGAGAGGAGTATTGAGGGAAAATGTAGGGGCAACTTACCTATGTCAGTGGAACCCACAAATTGCGGGCCAGCCGGTCAATGGTACTCAGCCTATTGTAGACCGAACACCTGTGCAACCTTCGTGCAAGAAGGCCTCCTCCAGGGTGCGAAGCACTGCGCCAGAAACCTGAAAAGGGGTTCCACCAAGTGGTCCAGTTGTTGGCTTTCTGCATCATGGTCCTCCCTAAGGGGATGTGGGACTTATGACAGAGAACTCTGCGCCTCCAACAATTTGTGAAGACGTGGTTCCGGGCATGGTGCTCTACACGCAGAATCGTGAATCTTCAAGGCCAATCAGCAGCGATGCGCTTGCACAATACTTTCTCCACGGCATGATGCAGCTGCAATCCGCAAGCTCAGCCAATAGTTGATACTGGATGTCTGTCAGAGGCCCTGCAGCACATAAGTTTCTACCGTACAATCTTGGTCTGCCGGGTGAAGGTAAGATTTGTTCCAAGAAAAAACTGGCATGGATGGATCCGCTCTGTTTCTCACTAATCATTTTGTTTACATATATGAAAGTAATCTGTCAACTGGGCTCAAGCTACGGGCAATCGCCCAAGATGATGACAGAACAAGAGGAAATACTTCTTGTGAGCCTTAAGGAGGTCCCTCCCTTCTTACCCCATGAATGCACTATGTCACATGGAAGGTCCGGCAAGGAAAACGGTCTGCCTCGTGCTTCCGGAGCCAGGATCCAACCTGACAAGTGTTGAGGGCCTGCTCGCTGCTGCTCTCACCATCATCATATCAACTGACTTGCGCGCTGAGACATCACAAGAGAAATGGGACATCCCAGTGCTTGCAGAAGCAACTCCTCATTTCGACTGTGGTAGCAAGAAGGATAAGAACATATCAGCTATAGTCTAAACTCCTAGTATCCCCCTTAGTACCCCTTCTAGTAGTCCCCTATATAATCCCCTTTAAGGACTTTAGATTATAGCTCATATAAGAACAATTAAGACCCATCACCAGCATGCAGCATCTTCAGCCTTTGTCTTCCGCCAGCTTTTGGCTCTGGTCTTTGTGCGGGGCTCTGGGCGGCCTACTAGATTTTGCAGCGTTTGTTTCCCCAGATACTATACCGGGGTTCGTCTACATCATAGGCCCTTTTCGGGGTATCCTGGATAAGACGGAATAACAAAAACGAGGACTGAAGAAGGGACCTTAGCTTAGAACAAGTCGCATAGCGGCCAGGGCTTTCCAATAATGCCAAGTTCACGGCTTGCAATGTCAGATGCTTGTTTCACGAAGCATGTTCTGCAACAGGCTTCGGCCATCGGATTCACTGGCAAAAGACCGGTCAGCGACAGTTGGCTCTGCTTGGCTCATCCGAACAGCTCTCGCGCAAGCTCGCGGGGGACCCACGAAGCGGAGCTGTTCATCACTTGCCAAAGGCCAGGGGTGCCACTAAAGGTTCCACCAGTAAATCTTTACTATGTGCGCATTCTATCAGCCACTCATTTGAGCTATAGTCTAACTCCTAGTATCCCCCTTGATCACCCGTATAGTAGTC